CTTGTGTGAGAAACCAGGAGGGTAAATAAGTACCAAAATGGATGACAGATATTAGGAAGCAGGAAGAAAATGTTCAAATGGGAAGGGGAGCAAGGGAAAGGAGAGGAGGAAAGAAAGGAAAAGAAAAGGAAAAAAAGAGAATAGAAGGAGAAAAATGGAAACAACTTCTAGGAGGGGAAGAAGAATTGAAGGTAAGGGAGGAGATGGGAAAAAAAGAAGAAACAAGATATATCCTGTACAGGTACAAATTCCCTATGATGAATGTGATCATTATGTATAGAAAAAAGTACCAATAAAATTAATTTTAAAAAAACAGTTGGGAAAAAAAAAAAACAAAAAACAGTTGGGCATGGTGGCACACACCTATAATCCTAGCACTGGAGAGGCTGAGACAGGAGGATCATTGCGCGTTCGAGACCAGCCTGGGCTACAAAGTGAGCTCAAGGCCAGCCTGAACTGCATGGTGAGACCTTGTCTCAAGAGGACAAAAGAAAAAAAAATTACTGTATCACAAACATGGTGTTTTAGAGTGACAGAAATGTTTTCCCTCCTAGTTCTAGAGGCCAGGAGTCCCTAATCAAAGTGTGGACAGGGCAGGTTCCTCTGAAGGCTGTGGGGAGAATGTTCCTGGACCTTCCCAGGCTTCAGGCACTGCTTCGAAGTCTGGCCTTCCTTGACTTGTGAAGATTACTCAGCTCTGCTTCCGTCTTCACATGGACTTCTCACTTTCTTTTCTTCTCACCACCCCTGGCTGGAACAAGCGCTTTGGTGGAGCATGCAGTGCTAAAGATTAGGGAGATGAGCTGGGTGTGGTGGCACACACCTGTAGTACTACCACGTGGGAGGCTGAGGCAGAAGGATTGCCATGAGTTCAAGGCCAGCCTGGGCTACATAGTGAGTCCAAGGCCAGCCAGAGCTATATAGTGAAATCCTGTGTTTTAAAAAAAAAAAATTAGGGAGATAGGGACTTGGGGAGGTTTTCTTAGTGCCCTGGGACCCAATGGTCTCAGTTTTAAGAAAGCGGCTCTCCATAGCACCACCAGAGTGCAGGGTGCAGGACACGTGCTGTGCAACCAGAACAACACTCTGTGCCTGGTATAGGATCCCAGATTGAATAGGCTCTTTTGATGTGAAAATAGAATAAAATTCATTCCTGTGTTCTTCTAGGGGCAGGGAACCCTATCCTGTACCTTGTTTCCCAAGAGTGGAAAGGTTGGTGGTACATACCTATAATCCCAACACTTAGGAGGCTGAGGCAGGAAGATCGTGAGTTTGAGGCCAGCCTGAGCTACACAGTCAGAACCTGCCTCAAATAAACAAAGACGTGGACAGGAGCATCCTCATGCTGCCCCTTCCCAGCCTCAGGGGCAGTGGTAGCAGTCGGTAGGCTAGGATTCCAGCAGAGTTTGTGTTCCAGATACTGCATGGTTATCTGGCCTGCAACTCACCTTGGTCCTGCCCATGTCCTGCAGGCTTACATACTGGCCCATACAGATCTCCCTGTCCTGATTCATTCCACTACATAGGGGTACATAGGAGGTCAAATGCTCAGCAGGGAGAATTTCTCAAATCCAGCCATGGGAGGAACCTTCGAGATCTAGTCTGCAGGTCAGGGATATAGCTCAGCGGCATAAGAGCTTGCCTGGCAAGCCTGAGGTCATGCGTTTGATCCCAGGTACCAAAAAAAAAAAAAAAAAAAAAAGATCTAGCCTGGATCCAGGAATGAGGCCATACAAATAAGAGGCCAAGTCCTTGTCTTCCTGGCAAGGTGCGCAAAAGATGAGTGAGGACAACTGCCTGCCTTCAACCAGCAGGGGAACCCAAAATGTAATACTGTACCTCGGGGAGGATGGGGATGAGGAGCCTGTGCATGCCTGGAATGATGGTACATGCTTGTAAATCTCAGTACTGTAGGAGGCTGAGGGAGGAGGAGCTCAGGTTTGACCCCTTCCTGAGCAATTCAGTAACTTAGTAAGGCTCTGTCTCAAAATAAAAAATTAAAAAAGGGATGAAGATACAGCTTAGTGTGAAGGTCCTGGGTTCAATCCTCAGTACTATCGCTTCTCAGCCTTTTGGCTAAGATCAAGTGCAATCCTCAGTACTGCAAAAAATAAATAAACAAATGAATAAATAAATACATTTTTAAAAATAGAAAAAAGAAAGAGACAGAAAGAAAGAAAAGAGACAATTGCCCATACCAGCTATGTCACAACAGAAACAACCAGTCAGGTGTTAGCCGGCCAGGAGGCTCTGACGGGGCCAGGTAGTACTACACTGCAGAGATGAGAGGAGAGCTGTTGGGGAAGAGGAGGAGAAGCCCACGGATCAGAGTGATGTAAAGGTCCTGAGGCCAACAAACCTCTTATACCTAGCCTCTGTGACACCTGTAAGCCAGGTTAGCTCTAAGCTCCATGAGAGGATTTTATTTCAGGCTCAAAGTGGAGTTCTAGGAGGGCTTGCCACAGGCCCACAGGCAAGTGGCAGCAGCCACAGTGTAATTTGAGGCCCCTCTGGCCACTGCTGGAGGGGACTGTGATGGGAAGTTCAGTGAGCATCCTGTTGGCTGGAGCAGAGGTGAGCAGCCTGAGCACCGGAAGCCATGCTGTCTTCACAGATGTCCCCCAAGGAACCGGAAGATATACTTAGGACCTACGGGCCCCCAGAATCTGACAGCTCTCATCTGTAAAAGGGTTCCCCGTGCGGATGAGGCCCTCTCCAGAACCACCCTGGGCCACTCTCCTGGCTATCTTCCAATGTACAGAGGGCTTCTGTGTGTCCTCAGGGGCCGGGGGTGGGTGAGCTGAGAGCGGGCCCTGTCAGGGACATAGCAGAGGAGACTCAGCGCCCAGAATGCCAAGGAAGCAGGGCTGGGGATTTAGCTCAGCGGCACAGCGCCTGCCTGGCAAGCGCAAGGTCGTGAGTTCGATTCCCGGTACCAGAAAAAAGCAAACAAACAAACAAACAAGGAAGCAAGATGGGCTTGTTTAATAGGTGAGGTGAGAGTAGAGAGGAATGCTCATTTGGGGTGATCCAGTAGGATGAGGGAGCTGTGGGTATAGAAGAAAGAAGGCCTGATCCTATTATTATATTTTTGTTTTATGGTTTTTTTTTTGTTTTTTGTTTTTTGTTTTCCAGTAACGGGAATCGAACTCACGACCTCGCACTTGCCAGGCAGGCGCTGTGCCACTGAGCTAAATCCCCAGCCCCCTGATCCCATTATTACAGATAACTAAGTTACTTAGAAATATTATAGGCAGACAGGACTGGGCCCTTGAGAGGTCAGTGCAGAAGACAACTGTGGGTCAAGGCACATTCCTTAAAGGCCAGACCTCAAGACACTTACATACTTTCCCCAGGGATGAACAGCAGTGACTGGTATTCTAAATAGGTATTCTGATTGCCTTGCATGGGGGACTGAAACCCTCCCTTTCAGGAAAAGTTCCTGTTCGGTCCACGTATACTTGCTATGTGACTTGCTTCCCCCATTTGACCCCCATTTAATCAATATTACCTAAGCAAGTATACTTGTAATCTTATTGGTTGATTATAATTCTGTCCCACATCATACTCACCTTGTGATTTCCCTTTGGATCAGTGTTACCTAAGCGACTATACTTGTAATCTTATTAGTTGATTATAGGTTTTTCCCACCTCAAACCCATCTCACCTCATGGTTTTGCTCTATAAAACTCCTTTGAGCAGCAGGGGTCCTAAGCAACCCACTCAGGACCCCCTCTGTCTCTCTTAGACAGAAGCATCTTTTCCCTCAATAAATATTTTCTGTTCTTAACCTCCATTGTTCCTAGAATTCATTCTTTGATGAACTCGACATATCCAACATCTAGCAGCTAGCAGTTATAATATTTCCTTTATATTATTTAGATTATTTGGAGGTCATATTGAAAGGGGAAAACTGTACAAGAGAAATGGTTAAAACTTTGTTCTTTTGAAACTGCCTAGCTCTGTAACTGCTTCATGCCTTTGTAATTACTTTCTTGAGCCCATATTTGAACCAAACATGCAGGATGCCTGATTGTATCATTGTACCAAGCTTCATAAACTGATGATCATTAATCTACCCTTGTAGCCTGATGATCTCACCCTGCTTGCTAATCAGAACTGCCAGACTGTTCTGTCTCCCTTTGTACCTCCTGCTTGTGCATTGTATGAAAACCCTAGACCACGAGAGATCGGGGCCTAATATTCTGGGAATGATCCCAGTCAGTGCCCTTTGATGTAAGTAAATCTGCCTCCAAATCCTGGGTGTCGTTTCGGTGTTTCTGCATCCTTATATCACCATGACATGGTTCTGGGGACAGAGGGGCATGGGTGAGCCTAGGAGGAAAAGCTCGCAGAACAGCAGGGAGAGGCCCCACCAGGGGATGGCCCGGGCTGCATTCCGAAAGCGATACAGACCAGTTCCCTGAGAGGTGGGGGAAGACCTGAGGCGAGGGATCGCTGTGTTGTGGGGTGCACAGGGCGGGTCCTGGCGGAATGGTGGCCTTTGAGGTGTGAGGTCCTCAGGGAGAGTGAAAGTCAGTGATTGCCTCTGCGCCAGCTTCCTTGCCTTGCCGTAAGCCTGAGGAGACCTGAGGACTGCTGTCAAGTCTTGGGAGTTGCAACCTTATTTTGCATGGAAGAAAGTGAGGCCTGAGAAAATTAAACAGATTCACCACACTCGCAGGGCTGGTTAGGGTTGAGCGGGGACCAGCCCCAGTACCCGGAAGACCTCGGAAAGCCCCTAGCCCTCCACCTCTCATCCCGTCTGCTTCCTGCAGCATCCCTTACTGCGGATGACGCGTCAGGGAAGTGGCAAAAGCCAAGTGCAGAGCGCAGGGCTGAAACCCGGGGGTTTCCCCACCCGCGTAGTCTCGGCGCCCAAGGCTAGGTCACCCGTAACCGCCAGGGGCCGCTGCTGCACCGCGGAGGCGGCAGGACCAGAGCCGGGCTCCAGTCCCGCTCACCGGTGGGGCGGGGCTCGTGGCTGGGTGCGCCTGCGCACTGCGCGGCCACGGAGCCTGCTGGGGGACTGGACGCGACGCGCTGAGTGGAGCGAGCGCGGCGAGGACATGTGGCGGCCGGTGAGGACCCGCTCGCTCCGGACTCTCCCTCGGACCCGACCCTGCACATCCTGATCCCCAGCTTAAGGGGCCGATCTTGTTCTCCTGCCCGCCCCCCACCCCCCCGCGCCCAGCCCTCCCCGCCGCAGGGCTTTTCAGAGGCTCAGCGCTCGGGCTCGCTCTGGTATCCCGACCCTTGGGGCGATCCGGCGCCGCTTCAAAGCCCCCACCCCTGGCCCTCTCCTTCCTCCCGGACCCGTGGGCGCCCCGGACCCCTGTCTGCCCTGGACCCTCGCCTCGCTTGGAGAAACTTCTCTCTCCTATTTCACCGGTAGGAGAAGACGTGGCGCGAACCCGCCCCTGCCTTCCAACCTTGGAGATAGCCTCGCTTTCCCCGTCCTTGGAGGCTCCCTGCAGTGTGGCCCTTTCCACAGGAAGGACGTCTTGCCAGAGTTTGTTATTTTTTTAGTAAGCCTGGCCTTGTAGGTTTAGATATCGATATACAAGGAATTCTAGTAATTTGTGCTTGCAGTGAAAAGTACTGATGTGTGGCCGTGTTTGCTGGGCTGAAAGTGGTGCAGCGTTAGTCTGGGAGGAAGAGATGGGGGTTGCTCTTTGGTATAGCACTGTACAGTTTTTGGAGTTTCTTCTCATATCCAGGAGATTTTATTCTCCAGACGGGCCCCGGGAATGGACAGAGCAGTGTTTGGCTCTGACTAGGAGCTGCTCAAGACCAGCAGGTGCAGCTCGGACCTGCAGGCTCCTTGAATTTTGGCTGGTGCTGAGAGGAGGAGAAGGCAGAGCTGCTCCCCCTGGTCTGGATTCCTCATCTGTCACTTCCTGATTGGGGGGGGGCTGTTCTGTGCCTCAGTTTCCTCTGCTCTTGAGGTGCATAGGGCCATTGACTATTTTTTGTTGTTGTTTTGTTGTTTTTCTTTTTTTTTTTTTTTTTTTTTTTTTTTTTTTTTTTTTTCTCTGGTACCGGGAATCGAACTCACAACCTTGCGCTTGCCGGGCAGGTGCTGTGCCGCTGAGCTAAATCCCCAGCCCTGTTGTTTAACCAAGAATTGAACTCAGGACCTTGCACTTGCCAGGCAGGCACTGTGCCACTGAGCTATATCCCTGGCCCTCACCCTTCTATTAAACTGCCCAGTTCTGGTCACCTCTTTTGGTGTTTTTGATTCAGGCCTTATTGTGAAACTGCAGTTGGTCTTGCCTTGGGCTGACTTGTTTATTGTTACCTTTCATCTAATCCACTGTGTCTAACCTGCAGGGCTTTGGGAAAGCAGACCACTGTTTTTGCCTACAGGGATCCCTGGGCTCTTCCTAACAGCACACACTTCGGTTTCTTTTTTTTTTTTTTTTTTCCCTTCCTTCCAGTACCAGGAATCGAACTCATGACCTTCCGCTTGCCAGGCAGGTGCTTTACCGCTGAGCTAAATCCCCCAGCCCCCACTTTGGTTTCTATTAGAGAATTACTGCACAATTCAGGATCTTGCTGTGTAGTTCAGACTAGCCTTGAACTCACTATGTAGCCCATGCTGGCTTGAATTGGAGGTGATCCTCCTGCCTCAGCCTCCCAAGGGCTGGGATTATAGGCCTGGGCCACCATTTCCAGCTCAACTCATTTTGTTACTTTGTAAGTTTCTCTTTCTAGAGCAATCAATGGAAAAGAACTCTTTGGACACTTTTTTCCCTGCAGACAGACCCATGTACACACTCCCTGTAGAAAACATGAGGTCCAGAGTAAAAGAATCCCTGTCATCCAATCAGGATTTTTTTTTTTTTTTTCTTTTTTGAGACAAGGTCTTGCTCTGCAGTTCAGGCTGGCATTGAGCTCACTTTGTAGCCCAGGCTGGCCTCAAACTTGCAACGATCCTCCTGCCTCAGCCTCCCGAGTGCTGGGGTTACAGGTGTGCGCCACCACGCCTGGCCCAATCAGGATTGAGGGGTCTGCTGGGACCAGTATAAGCCAGCACCATCCCCACTAGACCAGAGTGTGTGGACCTAGTGGGAAGGAGCTGGTGTTTTTTGTTTTTTGTTTTTGTCTTTTTGAGACAGGGACTCAGTATGCAGTTCAGGCTGGCCTTGAGCTCACTTTGTAGCCTACACTGACTGGCCTCGAATTCACAACAATCCTCCTGCCTCAGCCTCCTGAGTGCTAGGATTACAGGCCTGCACTACCACATGCAGTTTTGGAGCTGGTGTTTGGGAGTGTTGGGGGACCCAGTCTTCTCTGCCTCTTTGTAGCAGTGCAGTGGTATTTTCTGGGTTGGGTTTTGGATATGTGGGATGCAGTAGGAATTCCTCTGGATTAGGTTTTAGGAGGACAGCTATAGGCTTTCTGTCCCCATGTTCCTTTTGGGGCTGTGAGAATCCCTTCCATGTGATGGGCATTTCAAAGAGGTTAGCTTGGCGAGCCTTGGGCACCCCACACTAGAAGGAGCCAGGAACTTGAACTACCTATGGGGACTCTGAAGTTGTCAGCAGGAAACCCTATCCACTGGTTGTCCTGTCCAGGGCCGCATTCCATCTCTTACCTGACTGTGACCATCTACCTGTCACTTGGCTAAGGTCCTGGCTCGGGCCATGCAGGCTGCTTGGCCTCCGTTGCTGTCACACAGCATGTGTCCATTGCTTCCCTTCAGCACAGTGTGAGATCCTAGAAGTGCGATCCTTGGGAGGTGGACCCTGCTCACAGTCCAGCAGGGAGACAGGTACTATAACTCACCTTTGCACCACTGTGAGATAAGAACTGTGGGAGAGGAGTGTGCAAGGAGATGCAGAGGCACCCAGGGAGGAGGAGGTGGGACAGGAGGAGTGATGAGTAGGAAGGCAGTGGGGCAGAGGGCATGCAAGCGAAAAATAGCAGGCTGGATTTTATTGGCATCCCCATCCTGCATCCTGAGTAGTTGGCTGAGATGTCAGGTCACAGCCAGAATTCCTGCTATAGCATTGGTTCCTAATGCTAAAATGGAAAATTGTGATTGGGCACAGTGGTCATGCGACAGACTCCCTGGCCTTACCAAAAGCAGTTCACACCAGGGACTGAGCACTCATTAGGAGCTGTGGCACATTCAGAACCTCTGGCTTCTTGTTTTTATTTTTATTTTGAGATAGGGTCTTGCTATGTAGTCCAGGTTGGTTTGAACTCATAGCAACCCTCCTGCTTTAGCCTCCTGAATGCTGAGATTACAGGTGTGCACCATGCCTGGGCTGGCTTCTTTTTTTTTTTTTTTTTTTTTTTTTTTTTTTTTTTTTTTTGTATTTTTGAGACAAGGTCTCCCTATGCAGCCTATGCAGTTCAGGCTGCTCACTTTCTAGCTCAGGCTGGTCTCAAACTTGCAACGATCCTCCTGCCTCAGCCTCCAGAGTGCTAGGATTACAGGCATGTACCACCATACCCAGCTTTTATTTTAAAATAATTAAACAATAAAATAAAATAGTTCAAATGTAGCATTCTTCTCTGTAAAAGAACCTTATGTTTTGGCTGGGTGTGGTGGTGCACACTTTTAATCCCAGCACTCGGGAGGCTGAGGCAGGAGGATTGTTGCAAGTTCGAGACCAGCCTGGGCTACAAAGTGAGCTCAATGCCAGCCTGAACTGCATAGTGAGACCCTGTCTCAGAGAGACCAAAAAAAAAAAAAAAAAGAACCTTATGTTTTAATCTGAAAATGATGCTGAAGTTGTTTGTCAGGTGGCTTGTTGTTTTCTCCTAAATACTTAGGCAATATGTGCTTTGTGCTGTGCCTGTGGAGACCCCTGGGTATGGTGGGATTTTGCCACAGGATGCTGAGGCCAGCATGCAGTGAAAGGGTGTCACTGAGACAGACTGGTGTCCCACTCCCAGCTTCATGCGAACTTTAGCAGTAGATCATGTGAATAAATACATATTAAAGTCCCTTGTCATAGTAAACATTCACCTTTAGGTGCTAGGCCCTGTACGAACTCCCCTCTCCAGCCCTGCAAGGAGCCCTTCCTCTTCACAGAAGAGAGTTAGCAGAGAAGGGCCCCTCTCCAGGGACGCCAGGCTAAACAATCCTTTTATCTTTTTGAAAAGCAGTGGAAAGCAGACAGTGTCGTCTCTGTTAGTTAGGGCAGGCTGGGGACGCACTGGGACCCTGAGGGCTTTGCTGCAGGAAAGCTGTGGAAAGCCATGTTGAGAGTCCTCGACTGCAGCGGGGATGCACCTCAATGCTGCAGTGCCCACCACACACCTACCCAGGGCTCGGTGTGTCAGGCACTGCTCCAAGCTCTGTGAATGGTTCTGTGGCTTGACCTGAATTTTAACAGTGCAGTGATCCATGCTTTATGGACTGGGAAACAGGCCCAGAGAGGGCAGTAACTTACCCCAAGCTGCATGGCTGGTAAGTGCCAAAGCCTACTGACGTTCTCAGCCTCACATCCACCTGTAAGGTGTCAAGGGCATTTTGTGGGGACTGTGTGGGGATGAGGAGCATCCCTAGTGCCAGAAGCATTCTATCCCCAAGTGACAACAAGAGAACATCTGCAGTGGAAGGCAAATGTCCTGGGCACAGAATCACCCCCCAGTGAGGCCCCCCTGCCCTGTGCTGGCTGCCTGATCTCCAAAATCCACCTAGAGCTTTTAGTGTGAGAGCAGATGGTTTGGGTTTTTTGGTTTTTGTTATTTTTGAGACAGAGTCTCGCTATGCAGTGCAGGCCAGCCTTGAACTCACTATAGCGAGGTAGTTCAGACTGACCTTGAACTCACTATGTAGCCTAGGCTGTCCTCAAGCTCACAGTGATCCTCCTGCCTCAGCCTCCCAAGTGCTGGCATTACAGGTGTGCACCACTACACCCAGCCCCAGCCCTTTTTTTAGATTAATTTATTCTTGGTTTTTTGAGATAGGATCTCTATGTAGTTCAGCCTGGCCTTAAACTCACTATGTAGTGCAGGCTGGCCTCAAACTTGTAGCAATCCTCCTGCCTCAGTCTTTAAAGTGCTGGAATTACAGGGGTGCACCACCACACCTGGCTAGGTTCTTTATTTTGAGACGGGGTCTCTAGCAGGTGGTGGTGCACGCCTGAAGTCCCAGCACTTGGGGAGCCTGAGGCAGGAGGATTGCCACAAGCTTGAGGCCAGTCTGGGCTACATAGTGAATTCAAGGCCAGCCTGAACTATGCAGCAAGATCCTGTTTTTAAAAACAAAAACAAAAACAAAAAACCAGGTGTGGTGGCACACACCTGTAATCCCAGCACTCAGGAGGCTGAGGCAGGAGGATTGCTGTGAGCGTGAGACCAGGCTGCCCTACAAAGTGAGTTCCAGTACAGCCTGAACTGCACAATGAAATCCTGTCTCAAAAAGATTAAAGAAGAAGAAGAAAAAAAAAAAAAAAAAAAAAAAAAAAAAAAAAAAAAAAAAAAAAAAAAAAAAAAAAAAAAAAAGCAGAGAGAGAGAAAGGGTCTTTCTAAATTACCCAGGCTGGGTTCAAACTTGGAATTTTCCGATCTCAGCCTCTGAAAGTGCTGAGATTATAGATATATGCTACTGAACCCAGCTTCATAATGCCTTTCTGTTTTGTTTTTGTTTTTGTTTTGTCTTTTTGAGACAGTGTCTCCCTATGCAGTTCAGCCTGGCCTTGAGCTCACTTTGTAGCCCAGGCTGGCCTTGAACTCGCAAAGATCCCCCTACCTCAGCCTCCCGAGTGCTGGGGTTACAGGCGTGCACCACCACGCCCAGCTCATATGTCTTTCTGAAGAAGCCAGGTTGTAGTTTGGAGAACATCCCACACCTGGAATTAATGTTGCATTTCAGGGTCGCTGGTTATGTCTGTTGAGCTCTGGGGCACTGTGGTGGTGGTTGCTGGTGACTGTCAGCTCTTATTCAGTGAGCATATGCACTTGCGAGCATAGGTGTTCCAGTGATTCCCCCTGGCGCGTCGTCTTGTCCTGAACCCACGTGTTTCCAGGGCCCGCTGGCCGGACGCTTGCCCTTGTTCCCTCAGCTGTCCTCCCCGTGTATACCCCCTGCCCAAGTGGGATCCCAGCCCAGATCCCCCTCACTTCCTCCTACAGCTGTTGATCCAGCTCATTTTATATCCACTGTTTTGCTTGGAGTGGCCTCTACCTCTGCATACGAGTTTTGTTTTCCAGCCTGTGAGGCCTGTTCCCACTACTCAGAAATGCCTGTATTGTCCCAGCCTCAGCCTTCAAGGACACTGTGTCCATGTGGACACCCCTCCCCCCAGCGCTGCAGGTGCCCCCTGGCCCATGCTCCAAGTGCCTCAGCACAGTCCATGGTCACAGCAGCCATTCCCTGGGCCTCTCCCTCTGTGCCTGTCACTGGAGGTGGCAGAGGTGAAGAGGTGCATGCCAGACAGGCCAGCGGGTAGAAGGTTTTGCCACAAGCCTCGTCTGCCTGGGCTGCTTCTTGCTGTCATCTCCCTGAGAATCAGCACCTGCTGTTTGTGGCCTTGATGAGTGGAAGGTTCCATCAGCCTGTTCTCCTGGGACCTTGTCCTTTTGTGACTTTTGTGTTGTTTTGCAGTCCTTGAGATTGTCTGTAGAGCTGTATGCCTTGGCCAGAAAGTAGTTGGAAGTCAGCGCTTTGTTTGGCCCAGTGTTCTTGATGATAATCACATCTGTGCTGTGGGGGTGGCATGCTATTTGGGCCTTTTTGCCCTAAGTGCTGACTTATTAGAAGAATTAGTTGTTGAGGAACTTTTTAGATTACACACTTCAAATACCAGGAGCTAGGTTTGATAATGGTACCTGTAGTCCCAGATATATGGGAGGCTGAGGCAGGAGAATTGCTGGAGTCTAAGGATTTGAGACCAGTCCGGGCAACCTAGTGAGACTTCTTTTAAAAAAAAAAAAACAAACAACGTAGGTTGCCAGTGAACACCAGAAATGGAATGTGGTCTCTTGGTCTTCTCTCTGTGTCCCAGGGCCAGGCATATCATCCACGCTGCCTCTCTTTCCCTCCCCAAGGTAGAGTCCCTGCCTCTAGGGTCTTGGCCAGTCATGAGCTCCTAGTACTTTTTGCATTCAGAACAGTGTCCTGTGGGCTCCACCTTTTGGGATGTCTTCTTTCTGTGTGTCTGGGCACTATGACACTTCCACAAGTCAGCCGCCTTCTTGTGGCCACTGGTCAGTGGCCTCAGGAGCAGGAAATAGTAAATGACAGGTCACAGGCACTGCCAAAAGAGTGGCCAGGTCATGGTGAGTCTCTTGCTACAGAGACCGAGGGGATAGAGGCGGGACACTTTCAGCAGTGAACCCCTGGACCTTTCCTTGGGGGATACTGCTCTTCCCCTTGCTTCCAAGAGCTGTGTCTTTATTCCTGAGCCCTTGTGTAGATTGGCCCCTGGCCGGAGCCTGGAGGCATTTCCTATCTTTCTTGTTTGCTTGCTTGTTTTTCTTTTTTTAGACAAGGTTTTGCTATAGAGTTCAGGCTGTCCTTAAATTACTGTGTAGCCTAGGCTGGCCTTGAACTTGTGATCCTCTTACTTCAGCCTCCCAAGTGCTAGAATTATAGGCATGCACCCCCACTTGGGTAATGAGTTCAGGGTAGTACAGCATGCCCAAGCCTGGGCCCCTGCCTGTGCAAGTGGTGGGTGGGTGATGGTGGAGCTCCTGGCCATGCCTCTGCATCAGTTGAGCTGAGTTTGCTCTTTGCAGGTGCGACTGTGCCACTTCCACTCTGCACTGCTGCAGACCAGATGGAAGCCATGGCCATGCCCAGGCACGTTCTTCACGAGGAATTTCAAGGGCCTGGCTGCCAGGTAGTCACCCTCTAGATCTGTGGGCACGCACCCACCCCAGGCAGGGGGATAACCATCTGTGTGGGTGAACAGGGGCAGTAGAGGGGCCCAAGTTGAACAGGAAGTATTCACATGTCCACACAGTACACTGGGACGCAGGGCCAACAGGGTCCTGACCCATGCTTGGCACGTGCTGCCCAGTGACAGATACTCCTGATCACAGCATTACCACAAATAAATGAAGGCAAATCAGGAGGAATGCAAATAGAGCCACCTGCTCCAACAGACAGATAGGGTGACCTTTCAGGGTGTGCAGGGGTGGGATTGCTATGGTTGAGGACCGTGTAAAAGGTGGGAGCAGCTTGAGAAAGGAGGGCAGGAGGCTCTGAGCAGAGGCTTCTCCGAGGGTGGAAAATGGTTACCACAGGGGCTGATTTGGGCTGGCAAGGTGAGTCAGATGCTGCATGTAGATCCTGCAAGCCCAGCAGCCTGGAGTGAGGCCTGGTCCTGGGGGAGGGCAGCACCCCCAGCACCCACTGTGACTCCCCATAGGACCTCGAAACCAAGGCTGCTGTGGAGGTGGGCACTGTCTGCCACAGCGGTGGGGATGCCCTTGCTCCTTGGAGTCCGTTATGCCATGGCAGAGGCGCAGGAGAAGAGGAGGATACGGCTCATGGTGGATGGCATCGGGCGATTTGGCAGGTAAGAGGGGTGGGGTAGCCTCCCCTGCTTGTCCTGGGGGGCTGTGAGGTTCTGCTGAGAAGGGCAGCCAACACTGGGCACAACACACTGGGCAGATCAGTCTTGGCCTTTAGGTAGGAGCTCCAACTGTTTGCAGAGAGCAGCTGTCTGTGCCCCCAGGCGGTCACCCTAGGTGAGCTGGAGTCCCACATGGCGATGCTGGCTGCCTCTCTCCTAGTACCTGAAGTCTTATACAGTACTCACTCTCCTTCCTGTCTCAGTGCAGAAATCAGAGTAGGGTGGAGAAATCAGTCACTGTCTTAGTTACTTTTCTGTCACTGCTGAGACAAAATACCTGATGCCCAAAATAAGGGAGGAAAGATTTATTTAGCTCACAGTTTGTAGAGGTTTCAGTCCATAATCGGCTGGCTCCAAGGTAGGGTGGCTTTGGCAAAGGGGCATCACAGAGGAGAAAACGTTCATGGTGCCCACAAGACAGCAGAAGCAATAAGGGAGTGGGGGAGAAGACAAGATTCTTTCTGTCCCTTATATTGTGTGCAGGCTACCCGCCCTAGGGCGGGTGTAGCGCTCACAACCTTAATCGTAGCCAGAACTATGCCAAACCAATCAATGAACTGATTTACTAATCACATACCCTTAATCCCAGCATCACATACTCTAGATTCAGCCACCTATGCAGTCAAAAGCCCTATGATTGCATGAGGCTTTGGGAAGACATCTAGACACAAACCATAATAGCTGCCAGGCCCTACTGAGCTCAGCTTTTAGGGCACTGGTTATGGGCACTGAAAAAACCCAGTTACTAGCGGGCTGGGGATTTAGCTCAGCGGCAAAAGCGCCTGCCTGGCAAGTGCAAGGTCGTGAGTTCGTTCCCAGTACCGGAAAAAAAAACAACAACAACAAAAAATACCAGTTACCTCAGAGGGCCTTTGAACTGGACATGCGGATGGGCTGCTAGACAGAGATTGCCTTTCTCCTTCCAGCTGTGAGCACCTACTGCCTTCTGCCGGGGCCCCCTGCCCGGGAGGTAGGACTCAAATCTTACTTTATCCAGCACTTCACTGACACTGTGATTGCCAGCCTTGAGGACTGAAGCTCCTTCCTCATGCCGGTCTCTCTTGTTGGCAGGTTCTTGGCAGTATCCCCTGTGTCCTGCAGGACCTCTGTCCCCACGGCCCCAGGTTCAATGAGGGCAGAACCTAGAGTCCTGTGTGCAGGCACCTTGGTGGCCCCTGGCAACCACTGTGTGGCTAACTCTTTGTCATACTGCTGCTGCTCCCCATGTGGAGACTTCAGCCTTCTGGGCTCATTTACTGGGGAAGTGAATGGGCTTCATAGCTTGCTTCTGGGCTATAGTAGGGACTCTCAGGTTCCCTAACAGTCTGCACATTCTTGCTTCTGAGCCAGATGACGTGTGCCAGGATAGGCAGGCCCAGGGAGCATCCCTGCTGGCACAGGGAAGGGGCCCGGTTGGAACTCGGTCAGGAGTACTCACCGCAAGCACGGGGCTGGGAACATGTCGGTACAGAAGAGCAGAGTTGGAGGGTGCTGGAGGTGTTACCACAGGATGAATTCAGCAGGTAAAATCCAGGCTGTTGTGTATGGTGAGCAAGGAATTACAAGCACATGCCCAGTGCCAAAAGGAAAGCAGCTATATTTATTTTGTCTTTTTGAGACAGGGTCTCGCTATGCAGTTCAGGCTATTGTTGAACTCACTTTGTAGCCCAGGCTGGTCTCAAACTTGCAATGATCTGCCTGCCTCAGCCTCCCAAGTGCTGGGATTACAGGTGTGCGCCACCATGCCCAGCAAGCTACATTTATTGAAGATCATAGGAAGTTGTGCTCAGGGCAAGTCCAAGCCAACAAAAATATGGCATAACAGAAAAGTACCAGAATGACAGGAAAGCAAGAGGACTGCACACAGAACACAGCACACAGCAACCCCTTATAAATCAGGCTTTTGAAATTCAAAGGATATGTACCTCAGCCTAG